TTCTGTCATAGGGTCAACTTTTTAGCCAGGCTAGAAGAATGTTTCTCTACAGATTTAAAAGTCTATGCATTTGGTGGTGGGAAATGAGTGCACCACTTCTTCTTGTGCCTTGAAAAACCTGGCACATCAGCCCTTTAATATGGTTCAACCTGACTGAGAGGATGAAAAAATAATTCCTTTCCTAATTCATTAATGACTTTCTCAGCAAGGACAATATTACAATAAAACACTGTTTTCCCTAAGGTTTCTAGCAAGAAGATTTGCAGAAAACTCTTTAGATTGTATTGGGAGAGTGGCAGGGGGAAGAGAGAGAAATAAAGAATGTACTTCCAGTTTGCCTGATTAATTGTAGTCAGAAAGTTTTGTTTGATTTCCCATTCCTGATTGTTAAAGATTTGCAATTAATTTTAAATAGTTAAAATTCCCATACTTTTGCTGAGTGAGTTCATCTTCAAGGATCATATGCAGAAAAAACAAATTTTAGCCTTTTAGATAAACCCATCAGCATGAAATTTTGCTCAGCTGTGTTCTACAAATGGCAAACTCAATTCCCTTTTGATTTTCTATCACATTTTAATTCCACACATCTAGGTGTGTGACCAGAATCCAGGCACAAATACCAGCAGATATTTGGAGGGAGATAGATCTCATTGCCATCTGTATGAGGCATCTTACACTTTGGGATAGTCATAAAGGGACTCCAATCTACATTATTGTAAAAACATTCTCTTTTCCCTTGTCCAGCCCTTGGTGTGTTCTCATAATGTAAAGTTTCTTAATGTATTCCTACAGCACCCATCAAATTTAACCCACCAAAACCACGTGCCTTTGAGCACACATAATAAGGTAACTTATTACTGCAACTGCCTGCAGTATAACAACTGTGATTTAAAAGCTGCAACAAAGATATTTTAGTAAAATGAAACACCATCCATTTTCAAAAAAAAAGAAAAAAAAACAAAAGCAAAAATCTCCAACACCATGCTGGAGAAGGAAGAGAACAGAGAGAACAGAATTAGTATTATCCTTTTCAATGTCTCTTTATTTTATAAAATATTGCACGCAAGAGTTACACAGGTTGAGATAATGAGAAATGTACATCTCTGCTAGGGACATCTTTGAAAGCCATCATTCATGAAGATATAACAAACAATCACAGAATAATAACTAGTATATTCCCCTGGGTAAACGAGATGAGACAGTTACGTTTAGCCCACACAGTGTTTGAGAGGATCTGAACTAAATTTGATCATGTTGTAAACAGTGTCCAATCATTGATGGAATTTAAGCTGATAAAAGTGCATTTTAAATGCAACTGTCAAATAAGGGCACAGGAACATAAAAGGATGTCTGTGTTGTTCAGTTGGTCAGGTTTCACAATATGTCACCAAGGATAAAGATGTATATGTGCTGCCAGCGCTCAAGGCAGCACACTTGCAAAGGGAATGGGTACATCAAATGTGCTGCAAATCCTTTTCCTGGGGGTCTTATCCAGTGCCCCAGATTGCTGGCTCCCTCTGCTCTCAGTGGGAATGGGAGCCAAAGCACCAAAAAGGTTCATCTTAAACTCATATATTAGTATGGTCCCTGCACAAGGGTGACATGCAAATTCATGAAGCATTCCATATTTTTTGGGTCAGTGTGGACAGAACTAAATGTAGAAAAGTCTTCTACCTTGCAGCACACAAATGTTCTAAAATGAACACAAAAATGTTCACTTTTGATTCATCCTCTCTCTCCACATGAATTATAAATCCAAATTAGAAAAGCAAAATATTTTTACTTCTAAGCAACTTTTCTGAGCAACAAACTTTTCTTGCTCTTCTACTTTATCATAATCCCTTTGTTTATGCCCATTCAAAAAAATTGTGTTACATGACAATTGCATGTCTAGAAGTTTCTGGCATAGCACACTGTGTAACATAGAATGAAGACAGCAGAATCTTAAACATAAGTAGGAGAAAAAAAATCTGTGAAAGGAGGCATGTCATGAAAGCAGTGAACCTCCAGCTCCTAGCAAGCTGAAAAGCACACAGCAGAAGGAAACAGTAAAATCCAGCTAAGGCAGCCGAAGTCCTGCTACAATTTAATCCTCCAAGTACAACACCATCTAGGTGCTAAGTCCTCCTGCTGGATCAGTACACAAAAGCGATTACCATCCCTGCAGAACATGCTGCTGAGAGCTTCTCTGAGTCTGTCTTCAAATGAGTCTGTCTGCAAGAAAGGAAGCTTTTCCCGTCCTGACCTGCAGACACTGACTACCTGACACCTCAGTACATGCTTATAATGCAAAGGCTGGAATGCTGGACAAGGAAAACCAAATTTTCCACTATTATCCTAAATAGGGGGCCACTGAGACAAACATTTGGGCTAGGAAAATGAGATAAAAAGGGCTACACTTCCAATTTTATGGGAGTCTTTCTTTCACAAAGAAAGTGAGTGAAAATTCCTAGAGTGTGACATTACAGGCAGCTAACAAGAAGAAAACTGATTTTGAAATAATTTTCCTGGGGGAATGGGAGAATGAAAAACTGAAGGCAGCACTGTGATCCTAGAAGGCAGAAAGGCAGAGTGTCCTCCAGACACTGTAAATGGGTGTGTTTGTTTACATTTAGCACATGGTGCAGACTTTGCACCTGTTACTGTGCGCTTTGCTTAGCGCAAGAATGACTCCAGCTTCAGAGGAGGTGCTGGGTACCTGGACCCTCATCACTACCCACACACAGCTTCTGACCCTGCCCTCTCTGTACAGGGTGACAAAATGCCTGATGCCTTGAGCACTGCCAGGATCTTGAATGTGCCCCCTCCCTTACAGAGATGATGCAAGTCCCGGGCTGTGTATTTGGTGATGCTGACACTGTATCAACTCCATCCTTCCAGGCCTGCCTCCTCATTTCTGCCTCCTCAAAACAGGGAAGGTAGACAGGGAGCTGATACAACCCAACAAATTCAACAGTGCACACTGCAAGGTGGTCATAATGTGGTGAAAAGAGCTATATAAGGAACGCCAGTACAATTTTTTTATTGAAGTTGAGGGCATTGGGATTTTCAAGGGTATTTGTCTTTAGCACTAAACCTCAGTAAATGTTGTGCGATAGCAGCATGATGGTAGGACTGCTAAATGAGTGAAACAGCACTGGCCATTTTGTGCTTACTGTGCAGACACTATTTTAGCACTTCAACATTTTGCAGCCCAGATCTCTTTTCTTGCCATTGTCCTTCGTAATTGCAAGCTCTTTGCTCCAATTAGAGGCGACACCAGTGGTCTGAAAACATTAAATCATGCTGTTGTGGCCACAATCGGAACAAACGACATTATATGAGAAAAAAACCAACAAAACCAACAAAATAAAAACCCAAACAAACAGGAGAGCAGCAGAGGAAAGTATGATCTTTCCAGTTCTGTTCTTTATAATGATTCATAGACCTTTCCAAGACCTTACCTTTCAGAAAACATAGATAGCTACACTCTGCTGCTGCTTTCTTGGTAGGCTAAACCAGTGTGTCCAAGTTACAGAAGCCTCACTAAAACACTCACTCATTTGCACTCCTGCTCTATAGTCATAATGCACATCCCTGCCTCAGGCTACATTTTGTGTCAGCAGTGGGGGTCTGGGACAACTGCTCCTCACTCCACAAGGAGCTAAAAGGTTACACCCATCACCAGAGGAATAAAATTTACTCTGGCACTAAAGTATCCATCACAATTTGGAGAAACATTTGGCGTTTGGAGATGGGCTGCAGGCTGTTACTGAGGCAGTCTCATCTTTGCCCTGCAGATGGACAGTTTGCAATTCATCTTGCAAACTTTCTCTACCTTCTCCTAACTGACAGGTTGTCTCTGAAGGACACTGGTGGCAGACATCCACGTTTCTTACTTCTCTGTCTCTAAACTGCAGCACAAGGAAAGGTGGCCAGCAAATATTGTAACTGGACTTAGGAGAGTCTGTCAGGAAAGGAAACCAGAAACAGGAGGCAAAGATTGCAAAGGAAATGGAAACAAGCAATTAATACAACCTGCCATGCTTCTTCAAGAGGGGATTCATTTCTTTCTGCTTTTGGCATGGTGAGGACCAGGCAGTGGCAAATAAATACACCTTGGATGCCTACAAGGTGCAGCACCAGGCCTTTGGGATTAATTTCTCCCACAACATCAAATGGCTTTGTTGCTTCAGGGGAAGGTAGGTAAGATGTGCTGCAATGCTTAAGGAAAGGTTTTAGATGAGACTTTAGCAAACATCAAGTGAACATAACCCTGGACTTCCCACACTGGAAAATGGAAAGTGTCATGCTCGACAGGAGTTTGCCTGTCTCTGTAACAGAAGATGCAGGTGGCTGCCAAGTGGTCCAGCAGGCTCCTGTTTTGACTCTGTCAGTGTTATTGTAATGAGAGAGAGTGAAAGTTAAAAGGAAGATGAAAGTGGCCTATGGCTTCAGAAACATCCTTTTTCTGCAAAAAGGACTGAGTATGCAAACACAAAATAGTAAACAGTACATGAAAATAACATAATAAACGGTATCCCCAAAAGAAGATTGAACTCTGCAACCTTTTTTTTTTTTTTTAAATAATACTAGAAAATGTAAGAGAAAGAGGGAAAAAAGGTAAAAGCCAAGAGTGTAAATGCAGAAGAGCATGGCGGGATCTCTCAGGAAGGGAAGAAACAGTGCTTAGGAAGAAACATTAGTTTGCCTTTCCTAGGCAACTTTTTGCTCCTGGAAATGCTAAATATAAGTACTGAGTTAGTATGACCAGCACTCTCACCAACCTGAGGAGTCCTGTCTTGGTGGCTAAAGGTCAGCCCTGTTGTTTGGGAGGTACAGTCCCACTCAAAGAGCTGCATAAAGGGGTACAGTCTGTGTTTCTTGTTTGGCTGTGGAACAAGCTCTTTTCTCCTCCCTGAGTGAGACACTGTGTGAAGGCACCATCACTCAAAAGCTCTTGGGCTGGTCCAAGTCAGTCTAAATAGGTGGACACAGGAGACAGGAGGGAACTGTATCCCTCAGACAGACATGTTGGCCACGGCCCTCTCGTACATGCGCTCCAAGATGCGGTGGATGCTGGCAAAGCCTGGCCGGTCGGCAGGCAACTTGCTCCAGCAGAGGCGCATCAGGTTGTAGAGCTCCAGAGGACAATTGTCGGGGCAGGAGAGGACATTCCCATCCCTCACGTAGTAGATGACCTCTTCGTGAGCCATCCCATAGTAAGGCTGCATGCCGTAGGAGAATATCTCCCACAGCACCACCCCATAGGCCCACACATCAGACTCCGTGGTGTAGCGGTTGTAGAAAATGGACTCAGGGGGCATCCAGCGGATGGGGATGGCATCGTTCTCGTTTGCTTTGTAATAGTCAGCAGAATACATGTTCCTTGAGAGACCGAAATCTGCAATTTTCACCACCATGTTCTCCCCCACCAGGCAGTTTCTGGTGGCCAAATCCCGGTGGACGAACTTGCGCTCGGAGAGGTAGGCCATGCCGGCAGCAACCTGCTTGGCAATGCAGAGCTGGCTGGTGCAGCAGAGCGCCAGGGGGTTCGGCAGGCGCAGCCGCGTGTCCAGGCTGCCCTGCGCCAGGCTGCACAGGTTGCGGGGCGAGCGGTCACGCAGGTACTCGTTCAGGTCCCCGTAGGCCATGTACTCGAACAGCAGGCACATCGGCTTCCCAACCGCACACACGCCTGCCAGGGGACACGCCACACGGGTCATTTGAGCAGCAAAGAGAGTTTTGCTGTGCAAAAGCCACCAAGCACAAAAGGGAGGCTTTCTACAATGCAGAGAGAGAGCCAGGCAAATACCACCCACTTCGCATGCATCCATCATGCGTGCTGCCTCTTTTCAAGCTCCTGCATCAGGGATCTGATGATGAGCTCCTTGGGTGATGCTTACAAATCATGCACATGCCTGCATGCAAAATTTTTCTCAACATCCTGGGTAAAACACAGAGTTTTGGAGCTAAGTTTAATGAAGAACTTAGGCAATCCTGCTTAAGTTAGTATTAACTAAAGTATTGTATTGCCTCTTCCCAGGTGAAACTGCAAGGACTTTCAGGAAGTAACCTTTAAAGTTCTGACCAAGTTACTTTTTAATTCTTATATTTCTTATGATTGTTGTGTTGTTAAACAATAATATTGTTGTAGGGGTGACACATATGCAGGAAGACTTCAAAAGTATTCACAAGGGGCATGTTCAAGGGTTCAGTGGAACTCGTGAATTACAAGGAAACTCTTGCTGTTATGGATTTTTATTTTTTTTAACAACTCATGCAAAAAAAAGTTGGTTGAGGAATTACTTTTGGCATGACAGATATTCAAAAATGAAAGAAAGACAAATCAAAAGCAGACAACAGAAAGGAGACATTTGCCATGTCTGTTAGATGTAGAGTGCAGTCCTACATGCTTGGCACTTTATCAGCTTTATTGGTGAGCCAGCATTAACCACACTTCCATGAGCCTTACTGATCATACAGTGATACAGTAATATTTGTGCACCTATCATTAAAATGCTAACCAGCAAAAGCCAACATTTAAAATGTATGTGTTTTGCTTTCTTAGGATCACCATTTAGCAATTGATGATGAAAGTTATTATGAAACTTGAAATTCTAATTGATGACCTAATATTTGAATATTTGAGGAAAAACAAATGGCTGCTCCCACTCTGATGACATCAGGATCTGACAAGTGTACGTGAGAGATTTATCATTTAAGCTGTTTTCAACAATGTGGCTATTTCTCCACAGCCCCCTGATCTGGTACTAGTTTGTGCCTGTACCTTTGTCCTTTTCTTACCTAAATTGTGTTAACAATAAACACAAAGTTTAGTCCAGTTTAGTGCTCTTTCTGCCTTTCATTTCTGTAGCCAAAGTGTCTGTATCAACCCAGCTTCCCCAAAAATGTGGTTTATCCATTTCAAAATGTTCTGGAGCTTCCTACTGAAATAAGTTAAGATCTCAAATGTCCCTGTTCATGAGAATCAGATCTGCATATAACAAATCTGAGCAGTATTGCCAGATAAAAGTGGCCAGCAGCATCTACTTCAGAAAAAAAATTACAGTCTTTAAAAGAATATTTTTTGTCAGCAGCTTTCTTCTCAGAAAGTATCTTATTAGTCAAGCTTCAGCATCAAGACTTTCTAAAAAAATCCAACAAAGAAGGATGTCCTTTCAGATGAGAATGGAAGGAAAGGAAGAGGCCATTTTTGTGGCTGGCTTTTTGTTAATTTAATTTTGTTTTTTTAATGCTATTAAGTGTTCGGACATCACAATAGTAAGTGGGATATATAAAACTAACAAGACTTGTACTATTTCTTTTCAGTACCCACAAAATAAATCACAGTTCCAGGAAGTTCACGTCTTCCCTGTAAGACATCTGGGTCAAGGTTATTAGACTGGAAGCAGAGTTAGGCAGCAAGATGGCCAGCAGTTTACCCAGTGCAGCATGAGGAGGTTTTGATGTGATGCACCCTCTTGTTAAGGCAACAGGAGATACCTAAAAGCTTGACGATGTTCGGATTGTCAAACTCTGCCATGAGAGCTGCTTCCCTCTGAAAGTCAGCCTGCATATCTGCAGATGCTTCCTCCTTCAGCATTTTCACTGCTACCATGGTGAAAGGTTCATATGGCAGCAGCCCTGGGGCCCTGCAAGGAGAGGTAAGAGAGGAAACCATCAGTGATGAATACATGCACACTAAATATAGGTTCTGTTTCTGATGCAAAAGGAGAGGCTGACCAAAAAAAAAAAGGGAGAAGGCCCCAGAACCAAGAGAAGGAGCCTTAAAGTCCAGTTTCATCTCTTGGGACTGCAATATGCATTGCATATTATAGAGGCATTTAATTTGGTTCAGGTAGGACTAAATTCAATATAGCTTTTTTTGATCACTGGTCTTGCTGCTTACAGACACTACTGTGTCTGCTAAAGACATAAATAAGTAACAGGCTGGTAAGAAACAACTGCTCTCTAGGCTGGAGATCACATCATAAACTTAATGGAGGATAGATGGACTCTTCGGCCCAAACAATTCACTTTTGGGCTATAACAGTGGAGTTAAAAATAAACCTATTTTTTATTAAATTGATGAAAGAGCCTCCTTTCCCATACCTGGCACAGTGGTGACTTTGGTATATCTGGCTACTATTAGAGTGAAAGTAGCAATTACAGGAAGTGTATTCCCTTGATTTTGTAAGGAAAATAGCATTTTGATACTGTTCTCTGTGTATGTGTGTGTGGCGTGTGTATCCACCTTTAACAAGTTATAAAACCATTTGCTAATTTCAGCTGGATTTAATGTGGTGTAGCTGAGGTTTAGAAAACAGTTTATATTGCTTCAAGATTTGTGGAAACATGTGACAGGACAGAAGGGACAAAGCAAGCCTGTGCCTTGTCTGAAGAACAAGTTAATGTGTAAATACACATGTTTTGCTACTTGTGAATCTTCAGCTAAAGTTTATAGACACAAATCCTTGGGAAACAGAGTCCTGACTTTGAGCAACAGATTTGTTTTCCTATCCATAGGATTCCCTGCACCCTCAACAAGTTTAATTATTTGGGCTTGCCAAAGATTATGGGGTAGCTGTTGCCAGAGAAGAGTAACTTTCCACTCTTCAAACATGCACTAAACCTCAGATGTACATTTTGTTTCCTGCACAAATTCTTGCCAGGGGCCTTGCAGCTAACACACATTCCATACAGGTAGCCAGCCAGAGCCCAAGGGGAGTGGTGCCCATTTATGTGTCACGTTGCTGCACCAGCCTGACTGCCCTCCCGTTGCTTGAATGCCAGGTTATTTTATTGCTCAGTAGCACCTAGAGGAGACTCCAATTTCCAAAGCAAACTTCCAGCTTCCTTGTCTTCTACTTCAGACGCATGGCAGTTGCAGCAGTTGTACTTGGATGCTGTAAATGTCAAATGTCACTGGATGGCAGGGTGTCCATCAAGAAAGGAATCAGAGGTGGCTGGATCACAGCTGAGACACTCAGCAAGGAGGTCTGGCATGCCAGAGCAGAGGATCAGGCTCCACATTTGTCTGCTAAGCCTCCATTACGGCACAATGTCTTCCTTCTTTTCACCCCGTGCTGGCTGCAGTTCCCTGTCTAGTAGGAGGGGAGGAGTAAGAGCACCTGCTGTCAATTCTCAGCACTAGAGCCAGCAACAGCAGCCTGAACAAAGCAATAGGGGATTTAAAAGTAAAAATAGGAGGGCTTTATATCTTCCAAATAGTCTCAGAGATTACCACTCATCTCTGACTAGCAGACCCAGCACGGTGACAAAGCAGGGATGGGCAGAGCTCAGTCCTGACTGCTTTGGAGACAGAAACTCACCCCAGGCTGATGTACACCCAACCGCCCAATTTCACTGAATTCTGTAATGTAAACTAACCTAAATGTAGCCAAGTGAGGTTAAGCTGCACAATGCCTTTTAAGTAGCCCTCAGGCAAAAGCCAGAAATTTCACCTTTGGTAGCTCATGGTGATGCAGTACCGTTCTGAGCAGGCCTGGGAAACTCACGCTGCTCTGGCACAGAGGCAGGAACTGTCTGAAGTCTTGTCAGACAGCTACCAAATGTGACCCCTTTCATGCCCTAAAGACAGTCTTTGCACAAATGATAGGGGCACGTCTGCAGGGTAGCAGCGGGAAGCAGCTGCCTCTGAACCTGGAGAATTCAGCTGGAGGGCCAGAAGGCAGAGTGTTTTTCGAAAATTAGGCTAATTCTCTCCTAGAACTGGGAAGCATCAAAAGAAATTACCTTAGGTAATCTCTCTTGCAATTAAGGAGGAGAAATTTACACTGCTTATGCACAGGGTGGACAGCAACAGTCCTTTGCCTGCTTCACTACCAATGGATTTGTGCACCAGAGTCATTAATTGGCATTTAAGTGCATGCTTAAAGAACTAACCAGCAGTGCAGCTAGGAATTTCACTCTGAGCCTATCTAGAGAATGTCGGACTTAAGTTCCCAGTCAGGTTTTCCTTCCTAAGCAGTGTTATGAGTAGAACAGCTGCCCATTTTTTAAAAAGGTTGCAGAGTTCACAGGGCGGGCCAGTTGCTGCCAGGGCAGAGTTCTAACTGTTTGTTGTTGTAATCACCTGTTGTTTTCGTTAACTACCTGTCGTTCATGGTTAAGAATTCCCCTTTTGTCGAGTGGCACCCTGCTGCTTCCGGGAGGATGGCACCCAGACGGTGGAGGGGAAGGGACACCGAGTCGCCATGCAAATGACATCATTTCCTGCATGCAACGGGATGGATGCCTCACCAAACCTAGCCAAAAACCCCTAAAACAACGAGCCAACACAAAATTGATGAATCAAAGTGATGACTGCGTGTGAGGAACAGAATCTAGTATCTGCCAAGGCCTTTTTACCCCTCGCCCTAACATGAAGATATTGGCTAGACAGAGGACCTGAAATGTTGACCGGAGGAGCAAGAGATTTCCCGATGATCTCCTGAGGAAGCAATCGCGGGCTCTGCCCACAGACCAGTGGACAAAGCTGCACACTTCCTCCTCCTCTGAGAGGGCGCACCCGTTGTTTCTCCCCACCTGAGCTGATCAGTTTTAATAAAGGCATTGAAAAGGAGAAAGGTCTCCTGCCTGTGTCTATTTCAAGCAGCAAATATGTAAAAAAAAAAATGAGGAGCAGTCTGAACCTGTATTTGAGACTCCGTCCTGTCCCCATCTTGCTCACCATAACATTTGGGCAGCTTCTCTTAGATGATTAAATAATGCCATTAACATCTACTGAGTCTGGTGGGAGCCTTCCTTTACCTTATTCTTTGGTTCAGTTAATATGTGACCAGGAGACTGCCCTGAATAAGCAGGAGCTGCTTTTTGAGGAGGAAAGGAAGGTTGGATTTTGTTTTTTTTAATAATTAACACCCACACTATTTTTCAGCTATGTATGAGATAGCAGGTCAAATAAATACCCTTTGCAGATAGAGAGAATATGAGGAGACTTCTGTCAAGAAACTCTGACCTTAGGAACAGCCCTGTCCCTAAGGAGGAACAGCATGTTGTGCATTTGTAGTGCAGGTCTACCAGCCTACTAGCAAAACCTCCATACCGGCCTACTGGCAAAGACTCCACATCCAGGCTTTTAGGCAATCCTGATCTTCAGGCTTTGCCTGGACCACACAGGTCAGCTCTGGAAGAAAACTTGCATGCTAGTCTGCACTGAACTGCACAGAGATGGTGCTCTGGTGTCTTGTGGGGCCAGCATGATCCTCCCAGGAGGAGAATCAGCCACAAAGACCTATCTGGGACAGACCTGAGCCTGGTCCTGAATTTTGTTTTAAGCATGGTTCCTTCCTTATCCTTCCAAGTGTGAAGCTGTTCCTGGTGAAGACAGTAGCCTTTCAGGAGAAGCTAGTAAATGATAGCTAGACACTTCCTGTCCTAACATGTTGCTTGACCCAGGAGTGAGTAAACACTGAATCAGGACTCACAGCAGCCAACTGGCAAAGGCATCACTGGCACTGAGTGCAGAGCTGTGTTTACAGAAGAGCGAGAAACATGAGAGCAGGAGAAGTAAGAGGATTGCTAAACTTAGCTCGAGATGTCCATTTAACACATGCAGGAGAGTACATTTTATCCTTCTGAGATGGGAAGGCAATAATTTGAGTTTTGATCATTTCAGTAACCTAGATGAACACACAGCTTATACTAGGACTGTACTGATCTGCCAGAAGTGCACAGAAATGTCTATACCTTACTATAAGGAATTATAAAGCCTTGGAGACATTTTTGATAGAGGTGGTAATAAACAAAGGAGTCCCTAAGAAGCAATATTTCTGTGGCTCCTTCCCTGAGCCAGAGAGAGCAAGCATCTCTCAAGAAGCTTCTCACTTTGCAAATGCTAGATGAGATGTAATACTTTCTTTTCTTCTCCTGTGTCTTTTTCTCTCAGTTTCCATTGACAATAACAAAAAGGCTTAATTGAAAGAAATTGCAGTGCTGAAGTGTATGAAATCCACATAAAAAGTCTTTACACCACTTTGGCACTTGCTTAACCAGCACTTTAGTGACATTTGAATGCCCTTTGAGAAGTCTTTCTCGATATCCATGAAAGTCATTTCGAGCTCAGAAAGGTCTGTGCAGCAGTCGAATTGTATTAGACCTTCCAGCGCAGGGCCAAAGCAGCACTTGGGAAGGAGAGTGCCTGCCCTGCTGGCACAGGGGTGAAGACTCCTGCAGCATGAGCAGGAAGGTGCTGCACCTCAGGGCACCCCGAGCACTGCGCTGAGGCTGGGACAAGAGCTGCCCTGTGCCCCTGGTGTGCAGTGCCCCAAGCACTGCTGTTGTGCAGCTTCTATAGCTGTGTTCTTGCTTCAAGCTCAGATGTGTTTGGCCATCCAGGATGACAGTTCATCACAGGCTAAGCATCTGCGGCAATCCCACTGTGCACCCTTTGAATTTTGTTATTTTTAGTTCTCTCTGTAATAAAAAAAAAGTACGCTTGCTTTTCTTCCATTAGAAATAATTTATCTCTTCATTAGAAAAAAAAATCCGTCACAGCTGTTGAAACTGTTTCCCAGCTGTAACATGTCTAACCTGTACAGAACTAATTTTCCAGCAGGTACACCAACAGCTTAACTATAAACATTACAGACACCTGCATTATGACTACTTTTTGCAAGATAGCCCTTTGCTTTGGCAGTCAACTGAAGCATTTCACCAAGCAGATCTTGGCTCATGGTGGGACTCTGATCCTTCCCTGGGTTTTTGTGGGTTTTTGTTGAGGTCATCATACACTACTCTAGATACAGCCACAAAATCAGCCATGCCCCATGCTTGTTAACTGCAAAGGACAAAGATTACTGCCCTGACTAAGCAGGGAACTGTACTGCCTGTACACTTTGTTCTAGGAATTTGGGGATGGGACTTTAGGAAGAAACTATTATTGTCCAGATTTTCTTGCAGAAATTATGGATTCTGTCAAGAAAAGCTAGATATCTTCCATCCTCCTCACTTTTGGGGTTGTCAATTAAAGATTTTTCACATTTGTAAAAGTGCACAACCTCACTTCCCATGATAATATCAGAACTGGGCTGTCATCTAATATCTCAGGTTTAAAACAAGTAACAGTGGCTGCAAATTCCAAAAATAAAAAGTGAGAAACTAACTAAAGGGGACACTGAAGAAGTCTAGAGATAAAGGAATTTATTTGTGTTACTCAAACACTGATACCCAGATAGCCATGGAGCCAACCAAGGATTGTTATGGCAGGAGAAGGGCGCCATACAGAGGTAAGGCAACATTTTTCTGAGACAAGTGTCCTTGTTATGGCTCCTGGAGATAAGCACAACACCAGCATCAGAGGAGCAGGAATGAGGCTGAGAAGTAGGTGGAATGGACTGCAAGGGGGGATCAAGAGCACCCAAGACCCTAAAGTCCCTAAATCATTTCCAGAAAGGTCTGGAAGAATGGGCTGCCCATAATAACCCACTTTGTATAGAAAGTGAGGAAATAAGCTCCAGGGCACATAAATTTTACTATAAAAAGGTACCCTTACAAAGCCTAGACACACATGTGCCCCAGGACTATAAACTTTCTGTCAGCTGAGTTGATGGTGGAGCCAGGACCACTGATCTTTTTTCCTTTTTTCCTTCCTTTCTTCCTTCCTTCCACCACTTGCTCTTTCTTTCTTTTTCTTTCTTTCTTTCTTTCTTTCTTTCTTTCTTTCTTTCTTTCTTTCTTTCTTTCTTTCTTTCTTTCTTTCTTTCCTTTCTCTTTCTTTCTTTCTTTCTTTCTTTCTTTCTTTCTTTCTTTCTTTCTTTCTTTCTTTCTTTCTTTCTTTCTTTCCTTTCTCTTTCTTTCTTTCTTTCTTTCTTTCTTTCTTTCTTTCTTTCTTTCTTTCTTTTTCTTTCTTCCTTCCTTCCTTCCTTCCTTCCTTCCTTCCTTCCTTCCTTCCTTCCTTCCTTCCTTCCTTCCTTCCTTCCTTCCTTCCTTCTTCAATCCATATTTTTGTCTCTGTTCCTTTTCACACTACCCCTTTATTCAAAACCTACTGCCCTGTGCTTATATAGGAGGTCAGGGACAATAAAAGTGCTATTTCCATGGAAGGCATGTAATTTGCTAATAAAAATTTGTACACTTTTGCAGATACTCTGGCTTTTGCAATTCCTTTCACCTACAAGCATCTGCAAATCTTGGCTGTGCATTTTCCATTAAGGCTGGGACACCACAGACACACAACCATACACCCATCTCCCCACTGGCCTATGCAGGGAGGGTTTTTAGGGGATTTTTGGTTTGGTTTGGTTTGGTTTGGTTTGGTTTGGTTTGGTTTGGTTTGGTTTGGTTTTGCCACAGAATCAAATTGCAATTCAGTTTGGACTGAACCATAGCATGATGCAAAGACTTGTGGTAATTACACAGGTCAGTACTGGTGTTGTAATGGAGATCACCACACACTGACAATTCATAAATACTGGGAAATGCAAGAACTTCACGAAAGGTCACATGTTACAGGCAGTACTCTTGGCAAAATTTAGCTGAACTTTTACACCAGATAATGTCAGTAAGGCATTACATCTACTAGAGAGTAGAAAAGAGTAATTTGCGGCAAAAGTTTAACAAATATTGACAGATAGCAGTGGACAACAAAAACAATTCTTCAAACCTGTGTTGTGTACCATTTGGTACACATGCATTTGAGTATTTGAGTGGATGGATGAATGGATGGATGGATGGATGGATGGATGGATGGATGGATGATTTCCATGCTAATTTTTTCACAAGTACCTTCAGATAAAGAAGACTCACAAAGAGACTGCTTACCTGGCCTGGAAGACTCTCCCAAATGCTCCCTCCCCAATATCTCTCACATATTCAATATTGTTCCTGGGATACTCCAGGCTAAGCAATTTTGGATTGAGGAGAAGAGGCATGCGCTGGTACATGGGGTTGGGGTGCAGCCGGTCCAGGAGCAGTTCGGAGGGCAGAGTGGTGAGAGTTGGTGTCTCCGACTCTCTAAAACAACAGAGGGATTTTTGGTCAGTGTGTGCACAGCCCTCAGTCAGGAGATAACTAGCTTCATCTCCTCCCGAGTTTATTTATTTCAGGGTGAGAAAGGAAGGTGCAGCAGGGCTACTGAAGGAACCTTGCAGCAAGGTGTCCATGTCCCTAGTCACCACCTTCTGCTCTGGCACAGGAGTTCAACAGAACTAACACTGGGCCGACACAAGCAGAGGGAGGGCTGCTGTCCCCTCACAGGTGTTCACAGGACTTTTCTCTCAGAAACAAGAAAGCTCTTTTTCCAAAGCAGCGTTTCTTGCACTGAATTAAGTTCCAAGCTTTACCTTTTTTTGTTTTTCCACTGTTTTCGACGACGGCAGCAAACCAGGGTGATAATGCCAAAGATCACGACCAGGGCAAAGCTGGAGATGATCGAGATGATAACAGTCATGGAGTATGTAGGGGAAAATGGAGGAGGAGGGGGAAGATTTAGAGTCTCTCCACTTGGTTGCCTTGTTCCCAGTGATAACAATGCTGTAAAATGCAAATAAAATCAGAGGGTTATGCCTCTGCTCATTTATAGAGCTTTCTCTAAGAGGAATTTACGAAGCTAACTTGTCACCCTGGAAATTACTGACATTACATGCAGCCCTATGACCACATGAGAGGACCATGCTAGGGAAGCTTGGCTTGCAGGTAGCAACACCCATTTGTTTTGCCACATGTGAAAATCCAAGATCTGGTAAGACCAATATATAGTGCCCATTAAGCTGGGAACACAGTTTTAGTATAGAATATTTGGAAGAGTTACAAATGGGAAGTCACATCTGACAGTCTCAACAGTATTCAAATATAGTAATGTCTGCAGTGGGAAAGATCAATGGTGTTGTACAATGTAAACCACAATGTATCATGTGTCCTAAAAGGAATCTGCAGGGAGGACTGTAAGACCAAGTAAGTACAGAGTGATACTTTCCCAAAATATCCTCTTACCCCCAACAGTTTGCATCTCAGTGTCTTTATGGGGAAAATGTGGAAAACTAGTTTAAAGCACACTTGGCTGAATTATTAGGGAAAAAAATCACATAACTACCTGGAGAGTGCCTTCTGAGATATTCTAGAAAATGCTGTTCTCTGTATGCAGTGTTTGAGAACAGAAAGAAATTTAAACTCTTCTTCTTAGTTGTCAGCTAAACTAAAAATTACTTGTGTTCACTTATGTCCATAGAACATAAGTGCAGTAAGTTTCCAAATGCAGTCTTATTTCTGAGCACTGAAATCCAGAAACTGGGAATCTTGGATGAAATATTTTTTAACATTTTTTCTGTTTTTGAACAAGAAATTACAGGAATACTTAGCTTCTACATCAAAAACCACAGAGGCTTCCATCTTTTTATGGCTTATTTTTAGTTTAAATTGGGGAACTGGGGGGAGGGGGGGAAGGAGGGGTGTGGGCAGTCTTACTGAAAAAAATCACCCTAAACTAAACAACTAAACAACTTTGGAAAACAACCTGAAGCCCTACCTTCTAAACAGTGTGAAAAATCAATTTTTCAGAGTACCACTGGACATTTCACTTCATCTTTAGCATTTATATAACCTAGGGCAAGATGCTTGATTCATCTGTCTTCATTTTCCCCTCTTCATGGGGCACATTAAACCTTCTCATTAAAGGTGCTGAATGAATCTGTGAGAAGACCCAGAACTAGCTGAATCCAGAGGACAGAACAGATTGGTGTACCCAGGATGCAAACACCTTGCATGGCCACGGAACAGCCACAGTGGCAGAAATCATAAAGTGCAGTTGCCTACCATCTCCACAGGGAGACACGCTGCAGTATTCCCAGGTCACAGCTGGATCCTTTGTGTAGCACCAGGGACGCTCATTCTCACCTCCTGGGTTGCGGCAGTAATTCTCAGCATCAGACAGCTCTGGGAAAACCTGAGGAGTCCTCCTGTGCATATGGGGAGCCTTGGGGAAGGAAGCAAATTGTATTAGTGTTTCAGCATAATTTTCCATGCTATTACTATTAAAGCAAAATTAAAAGAAAACCCAACGGAGGGAAGCAAGACAGAGCCTTTGGTGAAACAGCCATTTGGTTGCCTGAAATGACAGAGAACACATCTTGACACAGTAAGGAGAACTTGCAGATTGAAATATGATGAGGTTATAAAATGAGCTCAAGAATGAAGGCAACTTGTTCCCTGCTCATCCCTTGCACTGAGACTGGGCTGCCTGACTCTGAGAAACTCCTTGGAAAAGCAAACCTCGAGCACAGCTCTCCATTTGGCGCATCTCACACTGACACTCACCTGATCACTCCACTTCTGGCAGGGAATGCCAGATGCTGTGACATTGGCTGTGCCCTGGTAAAACTGGCCATTGCCACTGTAGCAAGTCCCTGGAAGAGAAAAACACCTGTAGGGTCAAAGTATTTCAGAACACATCCTGCAGCAGATGCTCACAAGAATAAAGTTCATGTTGTTACACGAGACCATCTGACAGTATCAGATGTGAAGCACACAGAAGGACTAGACAACACAGAAAGGGCACTGCTTAGCCTCCTGTTTACTCTCTAATGGATTTTGCACTCAATACATAGGCAGAAATCTGGTAAAACTTCAAAGAGGGCACTGCAGCTCTCTCAGATTGAGAAAATAGGCCATGGGTCTGTGATGGTTGAGCTGCAGCCACATAGTTCAGAGTACCTCATGCAGAAAGTGCAGAGCAGAACCACACTGAATCCACTCTAGCCAAACCAAGGCAAAAAGCAAATCACAGCAATGGTTCCATGATTCACAGCCTGCATTCTTACTGGGGCACTAATAGGAGGACACCCATATTCCTCAGGTTGGTAGCAGGGAGCTGGAATTCATAAGGGTGCCTTCCTCCTGCTTCTCTGCAGTACTTATCCTCTTTGATTATTTGGAAGCAGCCTATGATTTTCAGCATGCATGGAGACAATACCCTGAAATATGATCTGAACTATGATTTAAGGAATGGAATCAGTATAAAACAATGTTCTTTATAATGAAGGTAGTGCAGTCACTGCATATACAGAGCTTGCTCCAGCTGCAGAAAAATTAGGCAGAAAATCTTGAGATTTTACTGCAGGAGTATGCATTAATGTCCTCACAGGATGTATGTCCTCACATACACCTGTCCCCATAGGAGAGTTTAATGTATGCTGGCATAATCTAGGAAGCAGAAAGACAGCAGAGGAGATGCAGCCTTACAGATTTCAATACATAGTACCTAATCTCTAAACTCAGCTGAGCTGCAGCTAACATTGTAATAGATGGCATATATTAAGGTCCATTGCATTGTTAGCCTTGAAAAGTTAACAAACCAGCACATTCTTTTGTCATAATTTTATTTTCTATTATGTTCATAATCTCGCAGCTCAGGAATAAAGAAGAACAAGAAGAAACGTGATGTGTTCTAAAATAATGACTTTTTTAAGCAAATACTTTTCAACTTCTTGAAAGCTTTGTGTAAGGGTTGACCCAAATTTGACACAAGGCTATCTGTCTTTGTGGATTGTACTCTTTCTCATGTACCAGGACCATAGCCAACACAGCATCATGACTATCTGCTGTTTTCTTCTTGCACTCAGTTTGCAGTTATATATCATGATAGACTCTCAGCTTACTGAGGCTTCAGCAGGTAGCAGACACTATACACCTGTAGGTAGGCACACTGCCTTTAAAGTGTTAACTCCAGTCCAGTGAGCTTAAACAAAGCATTGAGTTCATGTAGCCCTGAGGCATCTAAACACTTCAGTAGAGGATTTAAACCCGTGACAAATGCAAAGTAAAATACTCTAAGGTGGATTTCTTTGGCTGATACATAAATACCATTTATGACTCACATTTGTAATAAGATAGCAGCCCCACATGACCAGCACCTGTAGCTCTGCAGAGGTGCAACATCCTAATTAGAGGTGTTAAACTGTCCTGGAACATACTTGTGTACCTGAGATGAGAATTTACTTGTTTCACATTCAAAGACAAGGAAAGCAGTGCCTGAAACATACCTCATGACACAGCTAGTAATAAACAAGGAAAAGATTTCTGCAAAGATTTGAAATAAATGTCAGTGGTACACCTTAAAAGATTAATGTGAAGACCTTTAGGGGCAGGAGCAACACTAAGAACCTCTGAATCTTTCATACTCTGGAAATGCAGATGTTTTCATAGACTGTCTTCCTACAATGAGGACAGAGGAATAATATGGCTGGTCCACCTGGACATTAATGACTAATTTGATAACAAGCTAGAAAACAGTTCAGTTCATGCACATAACAGTGTGCATGAACTGAACTGTTCTGTATCTTCCTGGTTCATGACTGAATAGTGTACATTTATGCAATGCCACTCTGGGAAAATGCTGTGGAAGCTGAACAGAAAAGTTCATGCATACACAATACACAGGAGACAGAGGATATATCCTGAAACAACTGTGGGGAGACTGAAGCCATCCCACAAATGCTCCTCTCATATGCTGACACCTCTCTCTTGTGGTTCCTCCACCAGGGCAGGGATGGCTGCCCTTGCAGGCTGTAGGCACTGGCCCAGAGGGCTCTGAAGCCCTTGTCTCCATGTCTGCATCACCAGGCCCCTAGGCCTTGCATTGTCAGGTGAAGCCAAGATGCTTCCATGAGAGAATATTCCCCAATATTCTTTATTTCTTTTTTTTTTTTCACTTTGCCTCTCTCTGCATACATAAGGTGTGAACCACTGCAAAATCTGCAAACCTCACCTGCTTAGATGCCTGGCAAGAGAGAGATTCCTTTTTCCAATGAGGCAAGGTCAGTGGCTGAGCTTGAAACTGCAATTGCACACGACTGCAAGAGTTGGGTGTGCATGCTTCAGCCACAGCTAGCAGCAGGGGGGAGCCTGACAGAAGTCAAAGCAGCACTGCAGGACATGTCTGGGTCTCACCACTGACCATGGGAGGCTCATACAAGAAACAGACAGACTTCAGAGGTGATTTGAGGAGAGAGCTGGGAGCTTAAGGTCTTGCAAGGCCAGCCTATTGTTAACATACAAGGCTGGAACGACCTCAGAATCAGAAATCCAAATATAGGTAGAGGGGAATGATAGGCAATGGGTAGATAGAAAAGGAAACAGCTGGAGGGAAGGGTGCCATCTAAAACCAGCATGCCTATCTCATAAAAAGTTACCAGCCCATGGTCTCCCCAACCTCCAAAGAGCTGGAAATGTGTTTCCCCATGCCTTGGTCATGGAAACCCAGACATTCCTCAGTAACAATCTAAATTTAGCCAGCCAGGACCAGCAGAAAACACAAAAACATGTGCAAATGGCAGCTTCAATAAAGAATATTCTGTCTCTAAAAACATAGAGTCTGGAGCAGTCTACTTACTGGTTATGTTCTCCTTCTTAAAATCTGTGAAAAGACAAGACAAGATGTAAGGAGGGATTGTCCAGGAAGCAATATCACCAGATGCTCACTTAGAAGCATGTTACAGGAAAAGGTTCCCTCCCTAGCAGTGCTTAAACAGCTTAATTCTTTGTAAAGGCACCCGAGTGGCGACTTTGCTATCGTTAAGACTGTTTTTCAGGATTGTTATGATCTTCCCCAGTAAAGATCCAGGCTTTATTTACTTGAGGGATTTTTCCCACACCCTGGTTGCACGAGAGAAGCAAACAGCTACAGCAGCCTCCCCAATTCCATGCACAGGAGGTGCTGACAGGACAGTACTCACCATCAGCTTTTACTTTAGCTGTAAATTATGGATCGTACCCTTCCCCTCTCCCTTACCAAGAGCACAGCTCTCTGGACAGCAGCATGTGCCATCTTACCAAAGAAAGGGATGCGGGTACAGGAGCTGGGATTCTGGTGCAGGCTGGGCAACCTGTTGCATTCAGGAAGAGTGAGCAGCATCAGCCCTGGCTTGTAAATCCCCTTCTGGGAGTTCTCCTCCATTGAGAGCCATTCCTTAAAGCAGTAGAGATCCTTTACAGCAAGGCAATTCTCTCTACATTGTTTTGCAAAAAACAGTGAAATACAGCTGTCAATGGCTTGAAAAAAAGAAAAGGCTGCACTTAGCAGTGAAATGCAGGGGTTATCAAGCTGACAGAAATCTATTAATGGGGTGACACTTCTTTAAAGCCAGCGTGTCTGGCTCATAAACCATAAAAGAAACTGTATGAAATGCAACAGCTTCCTTTAAGAAACATACAAACCTACATTTTTATTGAAGCAGGGTTATGCTCAAAACACAACACACACCAAACTATGAGGAGTTCATTCCAATCTTTTTCTACATATTTTTTTTTCACATGTTCTTCTAATAAACATCATAGAATCATAGAATGGTTTGTGTTGGAAGAGACATCAAAGATCATCTATTTCCAGTTTCCTGCCATGGACAGGGGCAGCTTCCACTGGACCAGGTAGCTCAAAGCCCCATCCAACCTGGCCGTGGACACTTCCAGGGATGAGGCATACACAGCTTCCCTGGGCCACCTATGCCAGTCTCTCACTATCCTCACAGTAAATAATTTATTCCTATTATTTAATCTAAACCTCTTTCAGTTTGAAGGCATTCCCCCCGTCCTGTCACTACATGCTCTTGTAAATAGTCTCACTCTCATTTCTAGAGTTAGAATTTTTCAATATATCCTAAAATCTCACTTGGCTTCTGTCATCTACTAAAAGCAAAAGGTGAGTTGCAATTCTTAACCTTCTTATATTAAATATTTGCATATACTTTTAATCTCACTGAATAAAGCCCCAGAATTTTTTAATTGTGTCTACAGGCAACAACTTTAAATCCATTTTTTTCTCTGTAGATATCTGCAAATTGCCTGGTAAAAAAGTGACCTGTCTCCCACCTAATGTGTTGCCTCCATAACAATGTGAAATATTCACTGGCAAGAAGTGCGTTGGATTTTTAAGTGGGCCTTATATGAGAAAGTGTTTGTGGAAAAGGGCGAGGTAGAAATACCTGCACTAGAAAAAAAGGAAAAGAAAAAAAAAGAAAACATACCATTCAGGGAAGTTTGTAGATTTATTATATTGGTCAATTTATCAGTGATTTACTTATTTATGTAGCCATTCTTGAGAGCCTGGGTTACAAAATCAACTTTGAGGTCATGTGCAGAGATTTCTTTTGCACAGCTCAGCTGGAGCCTTTCCCAGATCCACAACTCATCACACAATGATGCAGAAAGCAAAATGTACTTCTGGGGTGTGTGGGGAAGGATTTAGCCAAATTCACCACCTGGTGGGTTGATGCAACCTCCTTAATTATACAACAGTTTTGGCAAGAGCAGATGGTCATGAACGTCAGCAATGGCTAACACTGCAAACCCACTAAAGCACCTGAAGGAAGGGGGTCATTGAGAATTCTACTAGAGAAACAGCTTTTCTGCAACAGTAATGGATGCCCCTCAATTCAGCAGGCTGAAGTCATCAATTCCCAGGTACTCTGTGCTTGATTTTAGCCAGTCCTGGTTTATTCCTTCCTCCCTTCCATGGAAGCCAGAATGCAGCCAGATGGCAAATTTATCTTTGTTATGTTAAGCAACATGTGGAACAGGAGTGACCTTGTGAAGTAAAGAAATACTTAGATAGGGAAATGAGAAAAACTTGCATTTGAAGCACTGGCTGAGACCTGGGAGATCTGGACTGAATTAGCTCTGTTCATTCCTGGATCCCAAGCACCGTTAAATCAGCCCTTTATTCAGTGTTCAGTTGCAAAACGCAGAAGACCATTCTTCTGCAGTGCTGTCTGCTCCGGGGCTAAAGGAAGGTTATCTGCACCCTGGAAGAATGGTAACACAGCCAGAGGGAGGGTGGTCAGTCGCTCCTGGATGGGTTCACACCGCTGTTGTAGCACCCAATGCTGCGCACAGAGGGTTTGCTGAGGTCACAGGCAAAGATTACTTCAGGTTATTATTAGAAATGTTATGTCATGTAAATGACAGATGGACAAAGAGCAGTAATGGCAGAAGATAGCAAGTGTGCCAGTAGTGTTTCTAGGCACCACAAGAGACTATGTAAGGGGAGATGGGGACACACAGACCCAAACAAGGAAAAACTTTCCCCAATACAAGACTGTTCCCTACGGCCTGATCACTTCCTATCAGCAGTGATTGAAACAGAAACTGGGGGTTGTTCTGCTATTGCAATAGCAGCCAGCAACAAGAGGCAGATGTAATCAAGAATTATGAGATGAGACATCACTTTCCCTTAAAAACTCTCATTTTAATCAATTTGCATCTAAATTTACATCGAGTGAACTTTTCCCATGTGGTTTTCTTGTGTTTCATTTCATCTTATTTTACCCCCTGATTACTTTTAGAAAAGTTTTACTCAGCCTGTCAGTTGTTATTCTTGCTAGCTAGCTTCCAAACCAAATGAAATTTAAAAAACAACATAGCAAAGAAAAAATGGTGCAGAAAATAAATAATAAGATACAAATACATGGGCATATATTGAGGGCAGTATGTCCCTGAAAAAGTGGGAGAGCTCTCCCACATTGGAGAGAGTTAAATTCTTACTCATGAAGTATTTCAGCTGAAAACTTGTGTAGTCTAGCCAGCTCCTGCAGAAAGCTATAAAGTTGTCAGTAAAAAGAAGTTAAGAGAATTGGAAAGTAACCAAGACCATGTGAGATGTGTTCAAGAGCCCCCAGACCTCTCTCAGCCATAAAGTCCATAAGATGTCTGAATTATCAAAAGGAGTATTGGGCTCTGGAAGAACTGCTGTCCAGCTGATGCTCTCTGAGGACAGGAATCAGGAAGGATGCTGTTCCAGAACTTTTCTTATAAAGAAAGCTGCATTAAAATTAGGGTCAAAGGAGGGAGGCATAATTAATAAAAACCAACATTGACTCATGAATTTCAAGAAAAATGGTTCCAGGCAAGCCCATTAACATTTAGATATATTAGCAGATCTTGTAACTGTTAGCTCAGGTGCATCAAGATCAAGTGAATATTTATGTCAGTTTATACAATTCTGACTTTAGAAGTGCCCCAGAAGTACAGGTTTTCAGTCAAATCACTGTGAGTTCTGGTCCTGCAGGGCCACTCATGGGCAGGGGTAAATGAAGCAAGGCCAAGATCTAACTGAAATACTTTGCAGAGCAAAATGCAAAACCCTTAGCTGACTAATGTGTTGTTAATGCATGTGTGGCTGAGATATAAATACTGTCACAGGTCTTGAAAAAAGGCAGAGTGATCATGTATTTAAGGGCACAATGACAAAGAGCAGAATATTGAGGTGGCAGGGAGGAGCCTGCCAGCAAAAAGCAAATGGTAGTACTTGGCTGCATGATTATCTCTGGATAGTTGCACATAATATTGTTCCGTAGGATACAAGGCAGCATAGGTACCAAGTAGAAAGCCAAATGTATGGTCAATATTCACAGTGGGATTTTCCTCTGCGCCTTTGTTTTAGAGGTGTTAAAGGAGAAGCAACGAAAAAGGTCCCAATTACAAAACCAACATGTTGCCGGTTGTCTTAAAAAGCCCCTACATAACTGGAGAAATTATTGCCATTAGACATCAGGCACAAGTCCATCCAGCAGTGTGCTTGCCATGTCTGTAGAAAAGGTTTGTATTCTTATTTGGGACACTAGAGCTGGGGCTACTCTTTCAGTAAATGCAGATCTGAATAGTATTTTAAAATGTGTTTCAAGGAGGACAAGATCAAAGCAGTGCACTTTAGGCAGGGATGTCAGCTGCCCAAATGTGGTATGGGTAATGACTACTCTTTTATGGGCTTAACATGACAGGAAAAAGAAAGCTTCACCCTGATATGTGTGTGCGGGGCTGTCCTCTGCAAAGCACAGCAGGCAATCATAATTCTGTTACAGTTAAAAATAACCGAACCTGGACTGGGCAGAAGAGCAAAAGCTGTGTGCAGGGCTCGGGAAAACCTGTTTTAATCTAGTCAGAGAATTTGGGAAGGATGTAAAATTTCACTGCAAAGAGGAAAGAAAGAAACTCGCCTCCATGACCATGGTGGGAGGACAAGGAGCAACGAGGGAAGGGCTGCTCAGGAGATTGTGTAAGGAGAGAGTAGTGTCTGTCACTGGGATGTGTTTACAAATACCTGTCAACAGTAGATTAGCTATGGTAAGAGATGCTTTGGACTCCTCAGGTTCCCTGTCAGCCCAATTTCAATGCACATTTCTCTGCATACAGAAGGATACAATAACCACATTATAGTTTTGGTTTATCAGGTTCAACTACACAGGCAATGTCTCTGGTCTCATCATTTTTGTCACATTTTTGTCATAGCAGGAAGTACTAAATGACTGATATATTGCCTCAGCCAGATTTGTTGCATCTTCTGGAGCTGCATTTAGTCAAAATTTGAAAGAAGCAATTACTCTTTATAGTAATAAAAAATATAGATAGTGGCCTAGTAAGATAACAATAACAGAAAACAACATGAATTATTGAAACTACTTATGTAATTCAAATGGATACTTCTTTCCAACACAATCCTCCAAACACCTGATGTAATGTAGAGGTCTGGACTTCTAATTCAGACCACACCCTAGCAATGAGCACAGTGAGAGCTGAATCAGTCTGTGTGTACAGAGGAGAGAGCAAAGGGAAAACCTGTGCAAAGCTAGAGGGCCCAGCTTCACTCAGCTTCACTTGCTACTGCAAGCAAGCCTGGACAGTCCCTCACCACTCCCCTGCTGCATACACATCCCCACAAAATGAAAGTGAAATATGAGCGTGTTTTTCTTCATTTACCTGCACACTGGCTTTGGAGCTGGCCCAGCTCCCGAGGGATTGCACTCCTGGAAGATGTAGTTACACAGCAGAGACTCAGCAGCCGGTTGGCAGAATGAACTCACCATTTTCAGTTCAGTCCAGGCAGTGTGCACAAGCAGCTCTTGGGTCTCCTCTGGGTCAGCATAGGAGGAGTTGAAGAAAACAAGAGCATTCTTCGCCAAGATAGCACTACACACCTCACCTCTGTATGTGCTGCAGTAGCCTGCGTCACCCTTGTACAGCTTGCTGTCGAGGACAAGAGCACACACACACACAGACACAGAATAAGCTCACAGACCTAAACAGCTGCAGGAGCACAATGGCCCTGTTTCTGAATAAAGTGGCATGTGTAAAGCTAACAGAGGGCAGAGGACATGGTAGATGTTTATACCACTAAAACCAGCTATTATAACACAAGAATGAAAATTCTGCAGGGTACCCTAGTACCAGCCCAGGTGAGCTTCAGGGAGGAGGCTCTGACCAAGTGTTGTTAAAGTTGTAAGTGGACTGAAGGCTGAGCAATCACAGAGAGCCATGACCTAGCATGGCCCCTCACCCTGCCCCTGGGCTCTAATGGGAAAGTACTTTACTTTCCTGCTTCCCTGCAGTAGGGATCAGCCATGCTGCTTGCTTGCATTGCTTGCAGTTCTGTGATAACTCAGGATATTTCACTCTGCTGTCTAACAAGAGTTAGAGTTTAATGTAAGATAGACTTGATGAACAGGAGCCAGGTAAGTTCAACCCATCGTGTACCAGGGAGTTTTACACAAGGTCAGACCAAGCTCCTGCCTGCCCTCCCAGAGCTCCTGCACCACTCCTGACCTGTCCCTCTTCCACGCCTTTAGCTGGGGAACTCAGAGATGAGGAAGGAACAAGTCTTTGTGTTTTCCTTCCCAGTGTTTTTCTGCAAGGTGCATCTTTTCACCACATCTCCCATTTTGCTAAGTCCTGACACATAGCACAGAGACAGAGCTATGCAGGAGCAGTAAAATCACAGTAGGGTCATCTTCTTTGAGGGCCATTTATCATTCCCATGTTATTTGTATCTGGAAGGAGATCTCTCCCCCCTCCCTTCCTCCCTTCCTCCCCATGGCCATCAAAAGCAAGCAGCAGGGCGAGGGCAGTGCACAGACCAGCCGTGCTTCCAGTGGCTCCCACAGTCACCCACCAGCAGCCAGGACTGCAGGTGAGGAGGTGCCCTCTGCCCAGGCAGCCCATGGGATGCAGAGTCCTGGGTACGGGAGGCAAAGCTGCGAAAACAGACTCCCTGTGTGTGGGGCATGGCCAAATCAGGGCAGAGAGGAGGGCTGGGTGCAGCTGTCCCCACTGCCATTCGGTCAGTGTAACTGGGGTCAGAGAGTTCAATTCACAACATGCCAACCATTTGGAGCAGTCAACAGAGCTATTTGTATCTTTGCCTTTTATTTCTTTCCCTTGTCCAAATAATCACCCATTGTTAACTCTGGGGTTTCTTGCTGATTTTTTTTTTTTTTTTTTTTTCAGAAAGCTGGAGGTACATGGGCAAAGGATTACAGAGGATGCTCACATTTCTGTTCTTCAGATGCTATTTCTGCAGATCACAATCCCTGGCCTTGTTTTAGCTGCTCTGTTTTGGGCTCCATGTGAATTTTTTCTTTAATTTTTTTCTGTGTTGCACTGGATAAAAAATACAAGAAGGCAGCAATCCTTTGAGGTTTACCAAAATGGCAGTGATGCTCTGACACTGCATCATCCCAGGCTCCATGGACACACTTTCATGTGACACAGGAGTCTCCCAGCATGCTGCACGAGTCTCACAGCCCATGACATCTTCCTGCACACAGCAGGTTTCCCCAAAGCAATGCACCAATCCCAGCATCCTGCTGGAACTGCTCTTGGCATGGCAGGGGTCATGTTATTTGCATTTCCCTGATGATTCCCATTGTGCTTAATTTGAAAGTTGCATCCTTCCTGTGGCCAGGGGCAAAAGCAGGGACAGGTGTGCATGGGGCTGTTGCGCTGCTGACTTCAGGGGACTGCAGAGGCAGACTGAGAAGAATTAACAGTGCTAACATTATGTTTCCTTGCTTTTATAAAATATGCAAGGAGACACAGACCAAATTGCAATGGAGAAGTAGCAACAACATGTTTCTCACAATGGTTTGTCACAGAAAGGAAATATAATGCAGCAAATGTTAAGAACACCTATGGGACAGATGGGCTGAGCACTTGGTCTGTGTCCCCATGCCTGTCATACCTGCAGGGGTGCAGGTGTAAGGCGTAAGTCTGCCATTGGGTGGTCACTTAATCACTTACAAACTTCCTGAATCAACCTTGCAAGCTCCTGTGATGGAGGCAATAGCCTTTGCAGGGAGCCTGTGTCAGCAGAGTGGCAAAACCATTTGCTCAGACTGTCCCAGGCTCTGCTCTTTTCTGTGGTGGCCAGAAGCTCCCAGCCCATCTCCCAGGCTAACATTCTCATTTTCCTTCCAGACTGATCAGCCAGTGCAGTGTGTAGAAACATGGAAGGATTCTAAAGAGAAAAGACCAGCTAAATTGTTCAGTCCTGCAAAAATTACTACGCAGAAGTTCATTTCTCATTGCATGTAAGTGGCTTTGTTCATCCATAACTCTGCTTGGAACAAACAATCTTCTGCTGCCCTAATCTGGTGAGCACCAAACCAAATTACATTTATTAACTGTGAACATTTATTAACTGTAAGGTAGGAGTTTACCTTGCAGTTAAGCTTTGCCATGAACATTTATAAGGTCAAGGCAAACTGTGGATCTGTAACCAAACAGAAGTTTCTTCAGAATATTCTTCCCACTACCATATTTCAAACAGCCTTACTGCTGGCTTCACTCAAAACCACTGTTAACTATCCAAGCTTAATCTCCAATTATGCCTTTGTAAAGGAGATCAGTGATCCCTATGGGTGAACCTCATCTGCATAGTTGGAATGAAAGAACCCTACCCCTTAATTTAAACCAAACTAACCAGACCCCCTTGGCTCATTATTTTTCTTCTCCCTGGCCCAGAAAGGGCCTCCACAAAGCCACAGAAAGTCATTCTTACCTCCATTCTGCCAAGAGGCACCAGATCCAGGAATTGTGATGAACCAGGAGAAAGAAGAAATGGAAAAGACATCAGTGACACTTCATTGCTCCCTCTGAGATGCATAAGTCAAGATTTCCATGCTAGGAAATGTATCTGACAATTGTAAGCTGTATGAAAAAAATGCACCTAAATTCTGTTCCTTTGTTTGTATCTTCTTGTGGGGAAGAAAAGTTGGCCAACACTGAACACTGTAAAGTGAGAAAGAAGGAGGAGGAAGTGGATTGTTGATGGCAGTGCCAGCTGAAGTAGGCTCTTGCACCATAAACCCACACTTTTTTCCTGATCCTTTGGGTCCCATGTAACCAGCAGGCAGCATCCTGTGTTTAAGCTACATGGATATCCATTACTTGAGGCAGCAGCTGTAACAAGCAGGAGAAGCCAGGGCTGGGGATGCAGCAGTGGCACACAGCAGTGGCCCTGGCTTGCCGTGCCACAGGGAGTTGGGCAGTGCCAGCACAGGGAGGAGGCACTGGGCACCAGCCGAGGGCCAGGGCACCTCTGCCCTTGGAGCCTTGTGAGCTGGGGCAAGGCTAAGGCGCAGGTCTAGGGGGTAGTTCTCCTCCTGATGAGCACACACAGCCTGGAGGAGTAAAACTTCCACCAGCCCCAAGTACCTGTTCGCCCCACTGCATTTGTAGGACACACACTTGCCTAGGCTAAAAGCAGAAGTGGGAATGGGAAATTCAGTACCAAGTGCTGAGTACATTATGGAGCAGAGATTACTGATAGGTTTCAATGCCCAGTGTAAGAAAGGGCATGATTATTTTATCAAGAAACTAGAAGCTAAGGCACTGAGATAAACAAGTACCTGCCTGGTTAAAAGCAGAACCAGGGCTACCTTCCCATGTCCAATTTGATTCCTTTTTCCTCTAAGTCCCCTTGCCTGTCCAAAGAGGGATGGGACAAGCTACCACCTTTCTCTCTGTATGACAAATGCTATTAGTTAGCTCTGACAGAGGTATTTCTCCTCTTTGGAAATTAATTTTCACATTTGGGAGACATCTCTGAGGGAAGAGATAACTTCAGGCAAGGCAGGGTACTACTCTGACAGCAACCACCCTGCTTTCTGGATGCCAACCCCTTGTGAAGCTGAACTGCTTGAAGTTATTTTCACTTTGCTGTTAGATGATACCAACGCTGGGTCATGGCCACAACTTCCTCCATATGGATGAACTTACCAAGTGTGCTTCTGGGACACAAAGTACAAGACAGCATCAAACATTCAGGAAATGACAGCTATGCCCGTCTCCAAAGTGTAAGAGTATATGAGGAAATAGCCTGGTGGAGGATGTACTTGTACTCAAATTTAGGCCCCCACACGCTATCAGCTCTCCAAAGCTTCCCCTCTTCCACCACAGTATTCCACATCCCTTTCCTCTTCCCCAGCAGGAAAGGCTAAAAAGATTAATGGCCTCTTCTTTCCCTGCATACCTGAAATGCTGATGGTTGCTGCTGCTTTTGCGGCTCCAAAAGTTTTGCTGTGCTTGTTTGTGGCAAGACAAGTGAACAGGCCAGGTCGGGTGACATACACTTGCAGTCTGGAATCAACCACTCTGTCCTTGACGCTTTCTGCTATCGACCCCACAGAAACCTGAAAGAGTGAAAGCCCAGCTCAGTAATATTTCCAACAAAGACACAAACAGGCAAACCAAGGAAAAATCTGAGACAGAGTCCCAGGCATTTAAATTGGCAGAGGAAGATGTGGTAAGGAGACAAAAGTGGCAGAGACCTAAAGCTGCTGGTGTTACTTTGGCCCTTTCACAGCCGCCGAGTTCACACACAGAAATAAATGCTAAAAGATCTCTCCTATTTCACACCTCAGCAATACTTTTGCAATTAGGTTTCAGTTCAAGAGGGTCATAGTCACAATTTGGTTTATGCAATTGAGCTGGCTAATTACTACACGGCTTCTTGTAGTAGATAGTTTGCCTCTTCATGCCTTAGGAAGGGACTGCGCAGGATGACTTTGTGAGCATCCACTGTACAGAGGAAGAAAAGAAAATAGTTTGGAAGTCATTGATTCTGGATAAGTATAATCATTTCAATACTCTCAAAGCAGTCATGAGCATAGAAAGTGCTCTGGCTACAATACTTCAGCAGATACCTGATATATTTTCTTATCTCGCAACTAGAAATGTGGAAGGGGCTGAAAATATGATGATTTTGGCCAGCTCTTTTCCCAGATCAGTAATTTGCAGTTAAATGAGCTTGAAGCCTGCTGATTTTGGCTAGTTGGCCTTGATTTACCATCAAGTCTTTCCTGCCAACATGGCATTCATCAAATTAGGAGAGCATGGCACATACAGACTCTATCTTGCAAAGGCAGGAGGAAGGAGAGCATTGCCTGCTCTAACCTTCATACTGATAAGAGGCATCAAACATAATTCAAGCAAGGTATGTTGCCTGGGGACCCCCTAGGTGTAACCTGACTCTAAGGACATTGGAGATTTTCTCCCTGCATTCGCCCCAGCAAAGCACTCTACCTACACATGTAACTAAGACAGAAGTATTAATCTGACCTCCCTGGAGGTCAGTAAAAATATGCTTTCAATGAGACCTTTCAGTGAAATGAAATATCAATTGTATTGATAGCAATAATTGAAAAAACAAGGAACTCCTCAGTGTTTTTCCTTGTTGTTCCATGTCTTGTAAGCAGATTGGATTCTCTATGAAAAGAAAATGATGAAAAGAATATATTTGTTTTGCGTCTCTCAGTGTCAGCTTAGACTTGTGGTGAAAGAATGTTCATGGGAAGAAATCACTAAATAATCAGACCAATACAGTTTGTAAGTACTGCACCAGGTATGTCAGCCACTGTGCAAATGAAGGGACCAGGGATATATTTGGCCTTATAACATGAAGTCAGTTCAAGAGGGTGGGACCCCAAGGGATATTTTTTCACAGATATGTCTTTTGTTACAGAGCTGCTCAAATTTAGTTTTAGAGTGTTTTTCTCTCCAGAAACCACTCAGCACTAAAATGGTGCAGGGACCTTCTCAGTGGGAAGAATATTTCCTATAGCCCTCCCTGCCTTTCAGCATCTTGGTGGGATAGGTGGCTGCTTGCCATGAGCAGCTTGTGCTAATCCAGTCTTCTCTCCTGCTGGCTCCTCAGGCCTCAGGTGTACCACATCTGGCAGCACTGGACTGTGCTGCTGAGCACACAGATAACTGGGATTGTTCCTTCCAGCTTGGGACACAGGAGGAAGAGGTTCCTCAAGTAACCGCAAGCAGTACAAGCAGTATGCACCATGTACAGTGGAAAATCACAGGCAGTGGTGCCTAGGACTTCCACACTGGCCATCTGTTTTTTCCTTTACTGGAAACTTCAAGATGTTCCCTTGTGTTAATTGATTCCCTTTCCTTTTCAACCACATTTCCTGAGATTTTTTTTTTCCAGGAGTTCTCTTTTTAGTCTTTAAAACATCACTTCAGCTACCAGGAAATTATAGACCTCTTCATATCTTCACACCTGGCTCATTTATTCCTGGATATGTGGAAAACTACATTATAAGGTCCATGATGCCCTGTGATGCATAGCAGGAGGAAAATGTATTGTGTTTCTAAATAGGTAGGCCAGGCAGCTGCTGCACAGAGGAGTTTCCTCCTCCTTTTCCAAGGAAGCTCAGTAAGCTCAGCAGACTCCTGTTCTTTGAACCTCAGGACAATTACAGGTTGGTGTTCAGAAACCATAATGCCACAGGCATGCTGCATCTTCAAAGGACTCACCCTTGCTGTGAACCAACCCTCAAATTCACCATGCCCCATCCACTGGCTTCCTGCTGACTCTCCCAGAGACAGGCTCTCATTAAGGTTTCCTTGCCATATTTAACATGAGGCAATCAGGAACACTACCCTCCTGGGACTGGGCTATGCCTTTCAGACAGCAATGGGGCAGAGCACATATGACCAGTCAGACAGTGGCCCAGGCAGGGCCATCATCTCATGTGCCTCAGCTCTCTGTGGGACCCACTCACTGGCATCTCAGCAGAGTACAGGTCTGTGCTATGAAAATATATTGCTCTTTCCAGGTACCCCAGACCCCTGCAAAAGGTCGCATTCCCAGTGGGTAAGAAGTCTTAAATAAACACCTGCAGTTGTCTCAAGCTAAATATTGTCAGAAACCACCAAGAACCCCCGGGTCCCAGCAGAGGCTGATCTGATCCCTTTGCTGCTCTGCCTAGCAACACTGAAGGAATATAGAAAATTAGCCCTAATCAGACTGGAGATCACAGTAAGGTACAGAGGAGACAAGGAAGGCAAGACAGCCTGCAGAGTAGCCATGGGGTCTTAATAACGTGTTTTAATGTGTGGAGAGAGGAGATACAAAGCAGAATAGTGATAGCCCCTTGAAGTAAGAACCAAAGGGATTTATTGGTCCTCTGGACCAGCAAGTCCACAGGAATCAGGATCAGCCTATGCTCAGAAGGACTCGGGGCTGACAGGAGGTCCATGAGAAAGAGCAAAAGCAAATCGCCAGCCTGCACTCAGCAGACACTCCACCTGCCTCCACAGAATCATGCCCTGTCACATCCTTTAAAAAGCTGTCGAAAGACCAAAGAGAGAATAAAACATGTTCATCTTAAGCACATGAAGACTAGAGGGAAGCTATGGCAGGCTTCAGCTGCAATGCTACCATGACTGGTTCCCTGCTCACTCCCACACAGGCAATATTAGACATCAAGCAGGTATTCAGCTCACTGATATGAAGGCATTGCAACAGCCTACACACAGGCAAATTGAAAGCAAGCACCCATATTAAGTGGTCAAGATCATTACACCACAGAATCTTTCCTAAGAGACACAGTGGATTTGCATCCTTTGGTGCCTGCCACTGAAGAGGGTGTGCCTTTCTTAAGAAGATGTTTCTGCCCAGGCATAAATTCATGACATATTTCACATCACCTAGGTCAGCCTAGAAAATTTCAGATCTACTATCTTCTTCAAATATCCTGTGCATAATGTGGTTCCACATTTGAGATATTTGACCTCAAAATAGTTTGGTCCATCTAACTCCATGTCATATTTGACATATTTGTCAGATACGCAATTTTGCCTCATTATTGTTACCATGTTATTAAAAAAGGAAAGGAAAGATAGCTGCAGAAAGACACAATGAAGCCCTAGAAATTCTGTCTTGGAGGATGGTTGGAAAGATCTAAAGCACCCTTCATCTTGGGCTTTTTAGATCCTAACAAATTAAGTAATACAACACTGTGGATAAGGGGGACAATATTTTTCCAGGGAAAACTGCAGCAGAGAGATGAGCCGGACTCAACCAGTTTGAAAAACAAGGTGCTAAGTTAGGAAGGAATAGAAATCACTGGTGCTGACTACCAGCCCTTCCAGCTGCTGGCAGTTCTCCAGTGCCAAAAGCATGAAAAAGAGGCACTTACAGCTTTCCCATTTTCCAGCCAGGTGACAGTAGGGACTGGAATGCCGGTCGCTGTGCACCGCAATGTCACCACGGACCCAAAGGTGATGTTTTGGGATTCAGGAGCCTTCAGGATTCTGGCAAACACTGTAAGAGAAGACAAAGGTGCTAGTTGAACAATAATGTAATGCTGACGCTGGTGCCTGGGGGTACTCCTTGATGTAAGTCACAGCTCCATGAATAAAAGTAGAGCATGAACAGGCTTCCCATGAGGAGGAGAAAAAAAATATTTAGTGTGGTTACATTCTGCAGCTTACCGACCAAAAGTTTACCTCTGGAAATTTCTGTGTCAAGTCCAAAGCCTAGAGGAGGTAATGTGCAAGAAAACCGAGAGGAAACTCTTTGGTAGCATGCAGATGGAACAGCTTACAGCAAAAAAAGCAGCAAGTTACCATGCTGCCCTGCCCAGGCTGACCTGTGAAACTTTGTCTGAACCATGAAGAACCACCAGTATGGATATGTGCCATGAAGGTTAAGGGTCAGATAAACATCTCAGTCTGATTGCAGTGATGAAGACTTGCCATGGAGTGTTGCAAACACTGGCATTTTCCACACAACAACAAGCTGCCCCGAGGGGAAATGTCTAACATCAAGCATCGAGGTATGAAAGAGTGGCTGGCAAAAACTTTAGGAAGATGAGATTCCAGTGGAAAAGTAGATTTTTGAAGTGGCTTCTCATTTCTACAGCTCTTGCTTCTTTTGTGGAAATATGGTTACTGGGCCCTTTGCAGAAACGTGACATAAGCATTCCCTTCACCCAGCCCCCTTCCGTTTTTGTTGTTGTTTTTTGTTGTTGTTGGGTTGGGGGCAGGGGGGATAGGGAATGGGGGGATTTGGAATTGGGGAAGGGGGAAAGGGTGAGGACTGTTGGCCAGAAATAACAACTGAAGTATTTTTGCTGAAAACTTATTTTGATCCAGAAACACAACTCTGATGGTCTTAACAAGCTGCTGTACTTGGACCACATAGAGAAAAGCAGAGAAGAGAAACTTCCCACCTGGAACATTTGAGTTTTGACCTAAAATTTTTAATGGAAACACCAGAATGTCTGTACAGAAGCAGGCTCAAAAGCACCGCTATTTTTTACTCAAATTTCTCATGCTTAGTGAGTTACACCTTCTAGACCACACAGTAATGTCTAAAAATCTCCATCAGAAATTATAAGAAGCTGGGAAGTTTCTCTTAGTGTTGTCAGAAAAGCCCGAGATCTTGTTTGCCACTTTTATCTGTGTGTTTTTCCTTATCAACATACCTCACCACATCAGCATCTTCTGTTTGCCCTGTTCAGAATTAGAGTGTTTAAGTGTTCCCCTTAGTGTTCCTAATAGTGTCCCCACTATTTGGGATGGGAAGGCTTTGTCTGCAAAATTTCAGTTGAACTGAAAAAAAGTATATGCTTTCCACATAGTCCTTCCACCCAGTTCTCAGCTAGTATGCAGCTGAGGTTTGTTTTGACAAAGAGCCTAAAAACAGCTTTTGCTCATAGATAAGTAGCAGTTGGAGTTAATTTCAGCATGGAATCCTTTTTGACTTTCAATAAGCTCTTGGGCAGAGGCTTTTTGGAAGATTAAGTTTAGTGTTAGTTAAGTGAAAATGGCGAGAGGATAAATATTATATTGAGCTTCTTAATTCTTCTGCATGCTTCAAGCAATCCCACTGTCTCTGCTCAGGGCCACCTGCCTAAAGTCAAAGCAGAGCAGTATCAGGCTTCTGCACCTCCTTACCCCTCAGCAAAGCAGCAGGTATGAAGCTCCATCAGTAATAAGCAAAGCTGCAGTCACTGGCCAGAAGCTTTTCTCATGAAAAATAAATAAAATGAAACCTTTGTCTGAAGTTTCACTTCAGGCCATTAACACCAGATGGTTATGAATTCGGACCCAGGTTTTGCAGGCTAAGCTCATAATTATTTTTATACTTCATTTGGAGAAATACTAAACTTTGGGGCCTGTCCTCTGGCAGCTGTTACGTTCACATGGCTCCAGCTGAAGCCAGCACGTTTCCTTCCAGGGTTGGAATATGGCCCTTAGTGCTTCTCTTGTGCTGCCCAATATGCTGCTGGGACCCTTGCCCACCTGATGCTGCTCTCTGACTCTGCTGCTCAGTTAAATTAATACCAAAGTGACAAATTACCAGCACCCAGTTAGCTGATGCTGGATGGTGGCATATATGTCCTCCCCTGGACTAGCTGATCTCCCAAAATCTGCTAGGATCTTTCAGCCAGGAGGAAAAAAGACACACTTTGAAAATGGCAATAGCACAGGCAGGGTGCAAAGCCACAGCAAGCACTATGGCTGGCTCAGCTCATGCCTGGCATGGTGCCTATGGGAAGGTCAGAAAGCTGCATTCCTCCTCCCAGTGTCCAGCCATCAGCACTGATCACTGCACTCGCTTTAGTAGCCCAGCACACTGCTAGGCAAGCAGTTGTCTGCCACCATAGGCAAGGTAAAGCATCAGGCCATTCTTAAAATCCTAAAACACCAAATACTGGGATTAAAAAATCCAGCAATAGCTCCTAAACATTCACATGTTTTCTAGTGGCAAGTACTGCAGGGAGGGATGGCTAAATAAAATTTGACCTATAAGCAACTAAGCTGATTTCCAAAGTGTGGAAGAATTGAAATTCCTTCTATCCCCAGGGCTATCATGTGCATTTTTCAAGACCTTCAGAATTAAAGTTACAGATTTAATTCTTTAACATTTCAGATACTTACATTTGCATGTTTTCAAATACTTTACTTAAGTGTGAAGCTGTAGATGGTACTACTGGAATAAACTGGCGGGGGGGAATTAATTATTTTATTTTTAAATGAGAAATTTCCTGGGACAAGGACCAGATTTTCCGGGTCCTAAGAGGTTTTGGAGCATAGCTGATCAGCCGATCCAGGGACATATTTTCCAAAGGGCTCTTAATCACTTTGAGAAAGAGTATTAAAAAAATAGTATCACCTATTTCTCAACCACATAACCTATGGGTAGATGATCAACACATTGACATTGCTGTCAGACTTGAGTGCTGTGGGAAAGTCAGGATGGGTTGCATAAGTGCAGCCAGTGTCACCATCCACCTGTGCAAAGCAGGGCAAGAACACCAGGGTGAGCTCAGGGTCCATTTTGGCAACTGCATGAGCAACAAAATCTGTCCTGTATCTAAATGGCAGAACACATACCCCACAACCATGATTTTTCTGCCCCCTCCCTCTCCTCCCCCAGCCCCCAATTCCACAAGTAAAGACAAGAGGCAAAGGCAAGTAGGAAATGGCAAATCTGGTGGTAGTGTAGTTGGCAGGAAGAGGTGTGTGAAAGACAAGAAGAAGGATCAGGAAATAGAAATAAATGTTTGTAAAATTCTTTTTTTTTGGTGGGTTCAGGACCTTTTTCTTATTCTCAATTTTCCTCAGAGTGAAAATTTCCAACAATCAGTGATTTCTAATGCTTCCATTACTTGTTTGTCTTTTTCCACATCCTCCTGAATTTGGATTTTGCCTTTGCTTGTTTAGCTACATTACTATCACAAGATTAGCAACATTCTTATCAATACCCCTTGGCTCTCTGCGCTGGATTCACCCACAGGCATGCCGAAAAAGCAGTCAGGGAAAGTGGGCAAGGACAGCTTAATTTATTTATTTATTTCAGTGGAAAATAAAACAGAGGAGCTGTAAATGAAATCCAGACAGCTAAAAGCCAAGCCAGCATGTCAAATTTCACTCCCAAGCCCCTTCATAAATGTATTTTTTACAGCCTTGGTAAATGATGTTCTGTGCACTGCAGGGCTTGCTAGGAGGTATCTGTACCGTGGCCAGCTGCTCTCGTTTCTGAGAATTACATAACATCATCCAGTCCAAACAGTAGAGCTTTAATTCAGTCACAAAATTTTTATACTATAAAAAGATTAAAGCAGTATGTCCTCCCCCCTGCCTCCACATTGAATGGCTAACTCTTTCCAGGTGACTTTTTTTCCCCATTGGCTTTGATTGAGCTATGTTTAATTTCCCAGGTTTGGGGTCTGGTCCCGCAGTCCTGGCAGATGCCTGCCCTCAGTCTGGGTAAGGCCTATTTTTTGTCAAAGAAGGCTGGATTTGGCCAGTCACAACCAGACAGCTGTGTAGGTGGCCTGGAGCCATGCTGCTGCTTTGGGGAAAGGACAAAGTGATGCCCAGAGCACCAGTGATGCTGTTTGTTTTTTGCCTTTTTACTTTAATATGCTCTCTGTATTCCTCACGCATATATTTGTAGCTCTGTAGCCTATCGTACTAGTGGCTGGTTTTCCCAGTACTTTTCCATGGCCCTTCCCGAGGCAGAAAGACAAAAGGACTTGCAGAGCTCCAAGCCCGGGGAGGTGCAGGGCCCCTCTGCTGTCTTGGTTCCTCCTGGGAACCAAGGCCTACAACAACTCTTTGGGACACATTTCATGGACAAAGCCCAACTAGTGCTGAGTGGGGGACTCCAGAGAAGGGGCTTGACCTGGGGAGGGGAATTACATCAACATTTGTCCTCCTAATTGGTGCTTTTTATCAATTATGTTAATTTCCTAAAACCTACAAAAATGTACCCATACTTCGGAGGGTGGGCTTTTGTGGACATCTTTCCATAACTGCCCCTGAAGGCCTTCAAATAAAGATCCACTCTTATATTATGTCCTTACTAAAATGATCTTGAGTTTCATTTCCAGGTTGGGAAAAAGGCAACACCAGGATCACTCAAGCACTAGTTTTGGGATGTGGGGTAGGTTGCTTTTTATCCAGAGGCCACAGTTGCTTTGGTGAACCCTGAATTTAAGAGAATATGAGCAACACTTTCCCATGTACGTGGATTAACTTAGTCTGTCAACATCCACAGGTGTTCACATCCAAGAGTTTGTTGGCAGAGTCCTGTCGTGCTGTAAAGCATCTGCATCCCCCGTAATCCAAAGCAAGGTAAGGCCACCAGGAACTAACTTTGTGTTGGGAACTGCCTAGCAACATTCCCTTCCCACTGCAGCCAAAGCCTGCTCTTATACAGGAGCCAGACCCAATGTGCCTGTCCTCCCAGGTCTGATATCTCAATCTGCCTCACTTTCCACAACTGCTTTGTATTTATCAATGAAATATGACCTTTTGGGTGGCTGAAAC